CCCCGCCCCGGCTCCGGCTCTGCGGGGCAGGGGATGGGAGCAGGGCCCTCCGGGGCTTCCCCTGCTGGCCAGCTGAGGCACCGGACCCGGAGGGGCCTGGATTGGCACTGCCTGCCCCCTGTGGCCCTGAACCCCTGCCCCACGGCGAGAACACCGGCATGGGGGGCACGGCCAGCGCCTCGCTTGGTTTTGGCACTCCACTGCAGTACATCAACCCAAGAGGACTCACCATGTGTTGGAAGCCCCCAGTGCCTCATGCCAGCCCTGCCAGCCCACCTCCCCACAGCCACAGCCAAGGCCACAACCTACTGCTGCCCAGCCAGTGTCTGGGAAGGGGAAAGGCACTTTGGTGTGTCCCCACTGGCCTTTGGAATGCTTTGGGAGCGGCAGGAAGTCAAGCAGAGGTTTTCTGTGCTGGCTTCTCCAGAAGCCTCACAGGCCCCACACTTAAGGGGGGGGTATCTCCCCACTGCCCCAGGGGCTGGGATCCCCCTCATCCCAATGGAGCAGCAGCAGCTCCTGCCCAGCCGGGGCTGCAGGACTGTGGGGTGGGCCGGAGGGGCCACAGGTCTCCCTGCTCAGGACTGCCCCATGGGGATGAAACCCCTCACGCTCACAGTTCCACACAAACCCACTGTCACGCTGTCCCAGCCCAGGTCGGGCTGGCTCCGAGCTCCCTCAGGGCCGTGGCCCCGCGCAGCAGCTCGACAGGCGCCGGAGCAGGCGCGCGAGGGGTCCCCAGCCCGGCTTACCTCTGCCCGGGGCCGGGGCGCCGCTGCCGCTCGGGGGGCTCGGGGGGGCCGTGGCCGCAGCCGGGGGCCTGGGGCTGCCGAAGGTGAAGCTGGGGGAGGCCCGGATCCGCGGGGAATCCTGCTGGCTGCCCCCGCTCCCGCCGGTGCCGTTGCTGAAGCTCCTGGTGCGGGCCAGGGAGTTGTCAGAGGCCGAGGTGGGCAGCCCACTGCGGGGGTGAGAGATGGGGGTCAGCCTGGTGTGGCATGGGGGGTTCCCCTCTGCGCCCCCCACCCACTGTCCCAGCCCAGCCCTGAGCACTCCGGCAGAGTCCTGGACTGGTGAGCAGCTGGGGACAGGGATGTCACCAAGGCTGCCCCTGAGAGCTGCAGCCCCAGTGTCCCATGTCGTACGTCACTGTCCCAGCAGTGTTGTCGCAGGATTCTCACTCCCTCACCCCCAGACACAAATCATAGTATCACTGAGGTTGGAAAAGCCCTCGGAGACCATCAGGTCCAACTGTTCCCCCACCACTGTTACTCTACCACTAACCCACCTCCCCAAGGCTTTTAAATCCTTCCAGGCATGGGGACTCCACCACTGTCCTGGGCAGCTCTGCCAGGGCTGGACAGCCCTTTCCATGAAGAAATTGTTCCCAATATCCAACCTGAACCTCCCCTGGTCCCTTCCTCTTGTCCTGTACCTTGTTCCCCAGGGGCAGAGCTTGACCCACCCCACCCATCTCCACCCTCCTGCAGAGAGCGAGAAGGCCCCCCCCGAGCCTTCTTTTCTCCAGGCTGAGACTCCTAAATCCCTCAGCCGCCTCCATCCCAGTCCAGTGCTAGAGGGGATGCAGAAAAGACACTTTCCAGGCTACTGGGCCAGGTGAATCCCAACCAATGTCACCCCTGCCCCTTTCCCCACCAACAGCTCGGAGCACAGGGACCGACACCTGCAGCTCCTGGAGCTCTGCAGGGCCAGGCCCCGGCCGAGCAGGTGACCCTGGCAGGTGACTCACTTGGGGACATTTATCATCTCTAAGTGCTGTTATCCTGCAGCTCCCGCGCTCGCCCCAGCCGGCCCTTACGTGGAGCTCCTGGGGGGGGTCCCGGCCCCTTCTCTCCTCCGCGGGCCCCCCCCGGCGCCGCGCAGCCCCCGCACGTGCTTCAACATCCAGGCCCGCAGGTTGCCCAGGCAGGTGTGCTCCGACAGCACGATCCGCGGCCACGGGTTACACTCGGCCATGTCCAGCGCCGCCACCGCCACCGCCCGGCCCACCTGCACGGCACAGGGCACGGTAAGGGGACGGGGGGACACGGCCCGGCCCACCTGCACGGCACAGGGCACGGTAAGGGGACGGGGGGACAC